GTATCAGACACCCTCCACCTCGAAGGCGAATCAGCTAAGCCAAGATGCTAAGCCAGCAGTCGAAGGGGAGGTTGCTGGTAACTCTGCAGAGCCAGGCACTTCGGCGATGCCACCACCAAAAACGAAAACGAAGTTTCTAGATAAGAGACGCGCAGCAGACATACTGCAAAAGCACCATTCTGCCCCCGAGTCGTCACCCGATGGTCGGAAGATGTTAGAATGGGCAAAGAAAATCTTACCGGATTTCAAGCCAGCTCCGGTAAGAAGACACAAAAATGCTCCGAAAAGGCAGAGATCGGCAGAAGACACGCCGCCACAACCAGCGAAGCGAACACGGCCTCCTCTGCATCGAACCTTCGCAGAAGTGGCAAAGGATAAGATCCGCATTGGTGTCATAGACATGGGCAGCAAAGATGGTCTTATCCCGAGGCACAGATGGGCAGGAGTCGAAAACGAGCTGCAGGGTCGTTTTCTGATGGGCCTCAAATGGAGGACCACCACCGATCTGCGATGATGCAGGCTGGCATCAGGGCAGAGTCAAGGCCATCGCTTGTCACGACAAGCGGTCGGCCGAGGCGTATAAAAAAATCAATAGCGGCGCTTGGCGAAGTGTACCCAGGTGCAAAACTGGTAGCAGTGGACTGGTGTGATATACCCAGTAGACCACGCACCAGAGTAAGGCTAAGCAGGAAAAGCCAGAGGAGATTTTGAAAATTCTCCAGATCTGCAACCCTCATATGAAGACGGACGACTGGAGTGTGGTCAAAGTAGAGGAGCCGGAAGGGACCACGCGCCAGATCGTCCTAGTTATAAACAAAGAATCTGTGGACGAGCTAGCCAAAAGCGGTGGTCTAGCGAGGTATGGCTACGAGTCTACAGAGGAGACACAGTGTGTGGTAAGCCAACCACGGAGAACGCGGAACTAGTTGACGCGGAGCCAATCGTTCCAGAAAATCCTGGAATGGAGGTCGCGTCGGACGAAGAGGATATCCTAGAGGGATATTCCTCTGAGACGTCAGAGCTCGTGAGAGGGCTCGCTACCTTAGGGCAGGATGATGAGGACTCCATCCTCGACGACGACGAGGCCGATAGAACAGTGGTGGAGATGGATGTAGATGCCCTTGAGGTTTCTAAAAATTAATCTCCACCACTGCAAAGCAGCAGCAGCTGCCCTACTGCATCGTCTTAGCAAAGACGATGTCGACGTAGTTCTCATTCAGGAACCTTGGGTCTGCAGAGGCAAGGTTTCTGGATTGAGAACGAATGAGTACAAGCTGATCACTGCAAACAGCACAGGCAAGACCCGAACCTGCATTTTATTCAAGAAAAATATAAATATTTTCTTGCTATCTAATTTTAGCGACGGCGACAACACAGCGGCTTTGGCTAAGCTCATATTCGAAGCATATCAGATTCAGTCGAATTCACTTCGACCCTAATTAATAAGTTTACGGCAGCATGTGAAACCGCGCTGCAAAAATCGTGCCCCATTGGGAAACCAAGGGGCAAACTTAAGCCTACCTGGTGGACTCCACAAGTCAGCGAGTCAAGGAAAAAAGCCAGGAAACTGTTCAATGCAGCCAGATCCCAAGGGCGTGAAAACTGGTGTGCATACAAGCAGAGCCTGTCAGGGCACAAGAAAATACTCAGACAGTCGAAACGATCGTGTTGGCAAAACTTTTGCTCCGACATCGAGAACACCTCTGATGCCGCAAGGCTAAGAAAAGTTCTCTCTAAAACTCCTCCCACGTTGGGATACCTTCAGAAGCCAGACAAGACCTGGACGACCTCAAGTCAGGAGTGTCTCGAGCTGCTTCTAGGTACCCACTTTCGAAGCTCCACAAGCACTAGACTGACCAACAATACGCCAAGCGCGGGTCTAGCTCTCAAGCTGCCTGATCTATTAAACGAGAATAATATCAGGTGGGCAATAAAAAGCTTCAAGCCCTATAAATCGGCAGGGCCGGACAACATCATTCCGGCACAGCGACTCCACGCAGGGAATACTGCCATCAGATGGCTGGCAGATATTTTTCAGAAAATCCTCCTTACGAGGAGAATCCCAGAAGCTTGGCTGAGATCAAGAGTGATCTTCATACCCAAAGCGGGTAAAGCCTCGCACACCACCCCCAAAGATTTTTGACCCATAAGTCTCTCATCTTTTCTAGTAAAGACCTTCGAGAGACTTCTAGGCCTCCATTGAAGGAGCATGATTTCGCTCTCAGAGCTGTCAAGCTCTCAACATGCCTACTGTAAAGGCAGATCCACAGAGACGGCTCTACACACTAACCGCATTTCTAGACATAGGGGCGCTTTCAACAATATGTCCCCAAACGCCATTACCAGCTCACTTACAGACTTGGGTGTGGACGACTCCACTGTGGAGCTGGTAAGACAGCTTCTCACCAGGCGGTCCATCAAATCCACACTGGGGCTATCAACATCATCCAGATATGTAAGCAGCGGAACGCCTCAGGGCGGTGTCCTCTCACCCTTCCTATGGAACGTGGCAGTCAACACACTCCTACGATCCTTGGATGGGATAGGGGGATGCCGCGCGGTGGCGTATGCAGAGGATGTGACCATCTCCTTCTCAAACTTTGTCCGAGCGCATGCACTGAGCATACTGTATACTTGGCCGACGTCGAGTGGCCTAAACGTAAACCCCTTCAAAACAGAGCTGGTACTATTCACAAGGAAATATAAAATTCCTCCTCTTCACTCCTCAGATCCATACTTCTATATGGAGTCTCTATATGGTGGCCATCGCTTAAGAGAAATTCGTCTCTTCAGAGACTAAATAAAGTTCCCTCAGCGACGCACTAGATGCGATTCTGGGAATACTCCCAATACATCTCATAGGGAAAATGAACGCCACGCTGGCGGCCCTTCGCATGAGAGAAACCAACCAATCACGCCAAAATCCTGAGAGGAAATGACATAATCCCCTCTGTCACTGACTATTGTACCCCAAAGGAGTACCTCCTCCTTTCGAACAATCATTCCTTCCAGGGATGAATGGAACGTTGGCCCGCCAGGCCCCGAAAATTCAATAAAAATATATACAGACGGTTCTAAGCTGGACAACCGCGTAGGCGGAGGTGTCTTCTGCGAAGAACTCGGCATCAGAAAAGCCTTCAGGCTCCCGACAGTGTATTCCAGGCCGAAATCACAGCTATTCAAGAAGCTCTCTTCATACTGCCAATCGCAGTCACAGACATTAGAGAAATTTGCATATATTCGGATAGCCAAGCGGCAATAAAATCCCGGCAAATCTCTTCACGAGATGGCAGCATAGTTCTCAGTCTACCTCATTTGGGTCCCAGGCCATCGGGACATAGAGGGAAACTGCATAGCCGACGAACTGGCAAGAGAAGATACCACCGTTCCCCTCCTCCCAGACAAGGAGAGCATCGGTATACCGATGGCTAACTGTAAACTGGCCCACGTGGTACCACAACGGGCCAAATAATCATGGCCTAAGTGAGTCAGGGTCTTCATAAGCTCTCGTTTTATTTTCCTATTTGGTTGGTGTGTTGGCCAAATTTTTGAAATCAGGTAATTTGCAATTTTTGCATTTTAGCGTCGAATCGCGTGCTTAGTGAAGCAGGTATCCACACGCGAGCATGCTACCCGAATTTGTTGTGTTTGCCGAAATTCTCGACGTTAGTGGATGTGTTCGGGTTAAATTTGAGTGTTCGAAGTTGTGCTCTCAAAGAATACAAATGTTTGTACCTTGCGGCTGTTCGTGCCAACATGTTCGACAGTGGATGGTGGTGTTGCCTGAGCATCATGTATAAAAAATATTTTGGAAATACCCACGCTCCAAATCATTAAATTGCCCAAACTAAGGCATCAGGTAGTCGGGTTTCCCCACTTTGAAATACTCTGTGTAGAATTATTATATAAATTATAAAAAGAATTATAAGAGGAATTAAGAAAAAAGTTCAACTATTTTCCAGATCTAGCCTTAAAAGCCACGTAAATTGGCTGGCAAGGCCCACGCCGAACCGAAGGTGCCACCGACAGGCAAATGGGTGCAGAATCTGAGAACATCAGGCTGGAGCACTCCGAGAAGTACCTGGACTATGCCGTGCAGAGTGGCAGGCTGTACAGGCGCGTGGCTGGGAGACGAAGATGTGTGTTAATGGAGGATGTGTTCAACGACAACGAGTGCCATGATGCCGGCGAAACCACAGAATGTGCATAGGAGTAAATACGAAAACCTGAAAATTGCAAGACCTAAAATTGAAATAGAAAGAGCTTTGCTACCGTGGGGCTAATGACAACAGGTGGCTAGGGGAAAAACAACAGACGCAACAGCATGGCGTCGCCACTAGAGCAGGATGGCCAGAAGTTGTTTGTAAGTGGGATAAGTAGATGGTAAGCAGAAAAGGAGTTTTTGTCTAAGTTTAACCACGTATTTTATTTGCGAAGTGCAATTGAAGGCGGCCCCAGTATTTTAGATTACCATAAGAATTATGCATCTACACTGGCCGGCGAGTACATCCGGGAAAGCAACGTTACAGTTGATTCTGCACGCTTATGAAAATAATCACAAAATGATAAATACCAAGCACATACTATATAAGTAGTTTATATTTTGTGTACTTACCTCAGAACATTGGATGAATTCTTAAAAATATACATAAGTGTGTTTTGGGTATCTATTTATTAGTCGATTAAATATTCTACTTAATTTAAAGTATCGGTATAAAAACGCTCGTACCAAGATATTGCGTAAACGTCTGTACTAATAGTCCTCTGGTCACAGGGCCGTATCGCCAACCCCGTGGGTGTTCTATAGTCATACGGTACTATCGCGTTTTATCATTAACGGAGTTTGGACGGTATCTTCATCTTCAGATTGACAGCTTGGTTCCGAATGAAGGTCGTTACTGGCAACTCCAACACAAACCCTTCCGCGCTGGGATTGACTCATGTGATGTAAGGCTATAGTTCGACCATGGGGTTGTACTGTTGATGTTGCAGCTGTTACCGTTGTAGGAGTATTTAATGTTGGCTGTGTTAAGTTATGTGCGTGTCCTTTGGCTGCGGGAATTGGTATTTGATGAAACGAAGAAATTTGAGGAATCATTCTAGATACAGCGGGATTGCCACTGTATCTAGGCCATACATTTTGTGATGAAGGCCGAGGTAGCGTACACTGAGAAATTGAGTTTGAATAAATATGAGGGGTGACATTCTGTAAAAAAAAATATTATGAGAAATATATCGTATATAAATTGTGGATCTAATTGATGATTTACATTATACATGCGCAATACAACAATTGTACAGTGACGCTATATAGCTACGCCGGGTTCCAATTGTGTGTACAAGTGCATGTAAGAGCACTATCTATGGCGCAATATATTTTACTTAACAATTGACTTTGCGCTAAATGTGATATGTTAAAAACGATGGCTTTTAGGATTTAAGCAACAAATTTTGTGATGCTCAGTTAATTTTAAATGGGATACAAGAAAGTCTCCATTGTTATTTGATTGTAAGGGACTTAGGGCAATTGAGAGCTACCGTTAAAGCGCTTTTCTTGCTTTCGTTATTTTAATTTGTTGTTTATGTATGGAAGTCCATCTAAAAATGGCTAGTTTAATAAACCAGTTTCAAGTTTATATAAAAATTACTATATTTTTTTCACCTATAAACTATTCATAAATATTTATTACCTATAGCCAGTTTCTAGTGAAAACATTAGAAATCACCAGTGAATTTATATTTTCTATAGACTTACAATTGGTAATGTTCCACCGCGTAGAGTACAGTAACCAATGCTATGAGACGTATGTAGAGTCATATCTGCTGTTCCAAGTTGGTGTGGTGGTGATGGGCTAATTAAAATACTCCTATTTGGGCTGGTATCAATTGTAGATATATGCTGGCGCCTTCTTATATAATCCACCTAGAAAACAAAAATTAAATTTATTTCAAAGTTGTTGCGAAAGTAGTGCCTTGAGTAGTGGCATCTTACAAAATACAGTATTTAAAGATAAAAATTAAAAGGTATTTTGAAGGCATCTGTGATGTTCGCTGTTATCGAGAAGATTTATTATTAAGAAGTTTTGTCTCCCATATTGTTGCCATGGCCAGGCCTCTGTGTATGTAGCATGGTGCGTCGCCTATGCAGCACTTTGATGTTGCTGCAACTAGTCGATGCCGTAGGTCCAAATACTTTAGTTCCGCTTTGTACAGTAGGAGCTTATTGTTCAAACTCAGCACGTGGGCTCAGTAAACAATAGCATCTGTAAAACTTTTGTTAACCTGCGTTCGTTAAGCCTTTACATGCTGGCACCTGGTAAGACAGCTATGGAAAGTTATCAACGTAGGTTGAAGCCATAAGTTCTGGCTCGACCAGGACTGGCATGTCCGCTGTGTAAAGTGTATATAGTAATGGGCCCGGTACACTGCCCTGCGGGACTCTAGCTCTTACTGGCCGGATGCCCCATTCGCCCTCAACTCTTACATAGAAGGATCTATGCTCCAGCTACAATCGGATGAGACTGCAGCCGTGTAATATTTGTTTTCATACCCTTGTACCTTTGGTTCACTAGCCTGTGACACTGCTCCTGTGTACCATGCCTTCTCCTGAAGCCAAACTGGTGGTCGGGGATCAGATTCTCGGCTTCAAGTATTGTCAGCACACGTCATGGAACAACTCTTTCAATAATTATGGGAGAGTGCCGGCAATAAACTGATAGGTCGATATGATGTCAGATGGTGATGCGGCTTATCAGGCTTAGCGATTAGGATCACTTCAGCGCACTTCCATTGGGTGGGGAAGTGGCTAAGTGACAAGCCGGGGCTTGTAGCTCTTATAGACTCTACGGACAGATAGAGCTATATAGACTCGTTTTGTCATGCTGATCAAGAATCTATATATATAAAACAGTTTGTCCTGACTGACTGATTGGTGATCAACGCACAGCCCAAACAGTAAAGGCTAGGATGCTGAAATTTGGACTCAAGTATCCTTTCATAGTCTAGGTGCCCACTAAGAAGGGATTTTGTAAAACTCGAGCTCCAAAGGGGGGAAAACAGGCTCCAACGTTTGTATGAAAAATCTACAGTTTTCATCTGATTAACTTTAAACTTAGCTTGTATACTCTCAGAACAATTCCAAGAAAAACTGTGTACTTGGTTTTTTGATATTTTTTGGGGCCTAAAATATGGGAGTTTTCCAGTAAAAAAACGTTGGGGCACAAAAGCAAACCGCGTCAACAGCCCACAGCTCACACGGTAAAAGCTAGGATGCTGAAATTTGGGCTCAAGTATCCTATCATGGTGTAGATGCGCACTAAGAAGGGATTTTGGAAAGTTCGAGCTCCAAAGTTTGTTTGAAAAATCCGCATTTTTCAACCGATCGACTTAAAACTTAGTTTCTAAAATCAATTTAAAGAATACAAACAAAACTGCATACTTAGATTTTCGAAATTTGGAGCTTGAATTATTGCGGTTTTAATATTTATTCACTATTTCAAATGAAAAGTGTGTGGTTTAAATTAAGTCCGATCGATTTAAAATTTTAGTAATGTAATCTACGTAACTAAATCTACAACTTTGCATTCAAGGATTTTCAAAATATGTATTTTACAAAAGCAGGCAGAACAAACAATACAAAATATCAAACAGTTGGGGACAACTAAGTATACATACACACACACACACACACACACACACATGCAAGCACCTGTTCGTGTAGTTGCGTGTAAACGATTGAAATAGCCAAAGCAAAATGTGAGACACTAATGTGTAAATGTCCATACATATGTGCAGATCTATGTATCTACATATGTATGTATGTACATTCGTCTTGTACTGACAGAGCAAGAATGTTAATTAATTGAAAATTATATAACATTTTTAAAAGTAATTTTTTCTTTGTTTAGTGTATTTGGCATTAGGGTTTTCATTAATAACTTTATGCAGCAACAACAAATATCAAATAGTTGGGGACATCACATACACACACTCACACACACAACAAGCAACAGTTCGTGTCTATGTGTGCGGTTCTCTACGTACGGTTGAAAAAGTAAAGAGAAACATACATATGTATGTATGTATGTATGCCTGTGTATGAATATAGCATGTATGTACATTCGTATTAATGTATGTATACATTGGGCAATCGAACACAGTTGTTTGATTCTAAAAAAAATAATGCTCTAAAAACAACAACAACTGCAAGCCATTGGCTCGCTCTTCTTCTTTCGTTTTGACCATTTAATGTTAATTGCAAAGGCAAAACGCCAAAAGTTTACAGTTACCGTCGCTAGGCAACGACTGCGTAAGCGATAGTAAAGCAGAAACCGAATAACGGAGCTACGCATATTGTGCTTCGCATTGCGGGCAGATGTATGTATGTATATGATTTGTTCTTATTGATCTCAATAAATAATTAGATTTTATTATTTAAATAAACTTCGATATTTTGATGGTATCGGAGGCTTCAACTATCGAAAGTTTTACTCTAGCAAATTGAGATGAGAATTGTCAGTGCTTTTTGATCGTGGCTCATCGCTGCACGGCATTGACACGAGTGCCGTGTTTCATATTCCGAGCTTGTGCGTGACCGTATTGACTCAATATGACACGAAAAGACTCAAATGTGAATTTAAAATTAGGATATACCCTTATAATTATTCCCCTTTTTTGCACATAGTCTATCTTAAAACGTTGCGTTATCTCTATATATAAAACAGTTTGTCCTGACTAATTGGTGATCAACGCACAGCCCAAACGGTAAAAGATGAAATTTGGACTCAAGTATTCTTTCATAGTATCCATCATAGTGTAGGAGCACACTAAGAAAGGCTTTTGGAAAATTCGAGCTCCAAAGGGGGGAAAACGAGCTTTAAAAAATATTAGTTATAGTGGTCATGTTCGTTTAACGAAATAGTTTGGCAAGAACAAAAATGTAACGGACTACTGAACAATTTTTTGTCAAGAACAGAAAATGTTCATTTAAATACCTTAAATGCCTTCCTACTGGTAACTTATAAGGTGAAAACATATGGGTAGGTTATAGGTTAAAATAAATACAATGGGAAACATTATATTGAGCCGGGTTAAGACGGGCAATACCTGCTAGTCTCTTATATATATAAAATAGTTTATCCTGACTGATTGGTGATCAACGCACAACCCAAACCGTAAAAGCTAGGAAGCTGAAATTTGGACTCAAGTATCCTTTTATAGTGTAGGTGCCCACTAAGGGATTTATGCAAATTTGAGTTCCAAAGGGGGAAACAGGCTCCAATGTTTGTATGACAAATCTACAATTTTCATCTGATTAATTTCAAACTTAGTTTGTATATTCTCAATTCCAAGAAAATGTTGGGGCACACAACAGCCCAAAGCTCAAATCGCAACATAGTGTAGTTGCGCACTAAGAAGGGATTTTGGAAAATTCTGGCTCCAAATAGCTTCAAAGTTTGTTTGAAAATCTTCAGTTTTTCGCCGATGAACGATGAAAATTTTGTGATCTATAAGAAAATACAAATAAAACTGCACATTTGGTTTTTTGAAATAGGTCTTGGGGTTTGAATTATTGGATTATTATTTTAATATTTCTTCACTATTTATTCTCTGTACATGAAATGTACAAGAGTATATTAGGTTTGCGGCAGGTGAAAAATGTAACAGACAGAAGGAGGCGTGGCAGACCCCACAAAGTATATATATTCTTGATCAGGATGACAAATCGAGTCGATATAGCCATGTCCGTCCGTCTGTCAGTCCATCTGTCTGTATGAACGCAAGTACAAGAGCAAGAATAACCAAACTTGGTATCCAGATTCTCCTATGTTCGAGAAAGGAAGAGTTTGTTAATTTTTTCCGATGCACCCCCCCACTCGCCCGCAATTTGTGTTTTCCCATAGCTCCCGTAATTATTAGAATTTTGGTAGTCACATCCAGTTAGTGATTGTGTGTCCATATGCCAAGTTTCACAATGATAGGTTAATTATGAAGAAAGTTATAGCCATAAATATAACCTTTCGCGAAGCTCTGCCCGAAGCTGTAGTTGTTAATGCTTGTAATGCAGACATACATATGTACAAGTACACAAACACGCATACACGATTCAGATGTAAATTTATGCTGTTGAAATTGTACATAAACACTTATGTATGCATGCATGCCTTGAATATTTTATAATTAATTTTATTTTGTTTTTTGTGGGTTGGTACAGGATATTTAAGAGCTGAGCTCGCTCGACTTTACCATTTCTTTTTTGTTTATATTAGGATAGTGAGAAGCCTTTTAACCACCACGTCAGATCTATGTCAACTAACTCTTAATTGCTGCATTAACCAAACAAGTGCTGATGTCGCTGTAAAATGGATTACAAAATGCGATTGATAACAAGAGTGCAAAAAGTAGGTAGAGTTGATATTGACAGCTGTTCTGTGTCTCCTGGTTCGCAGAGTATAGAAAAAAATATGTATAATGTGCTGCTGCTGATTGCAAAGGGGGGAGGGAGGGAAATTCCAAAATATACATTTTCTGCGTATTCACACAAGGCATCTTGGACTAAAAGTTGGTGGCCCTAGGTCTTATAGTCTCCGAGATATAGGCGATTATACGAATGGAAAATCGGGAAAACACCCATAGGGGGGGAAGTGGGGGGAAAATCAAAAAAATAAAACATACTCGTATAGAATACACACATAAGGCATCTTTGTGCAAAATTTGGTGTCTCTATCTCTTATAGTCTCTGAGATCTAGGTGATCATACGGACGGACAGACGGACGGACGGACAGACGGACAGACAGGGCTAAATCGACTCGTCTTGTCATGCTGATCAAGAACATATAACTCTGTGGGGTCTGCCACGCCTCCTTCTGCCTGTTACATTTTTCAGCTCGCGCAAACCTAATATACTCTTGTACATTTCATGTACAGAGTATAAAAATTTTTAAAATAAAATATTATTTACCTGATCATCGGAGTCAATTGTTTCCGGTACAACGTCCGGATTTTTCTCATCACTTTCATCCAAGTCTTTACTAGGTGAACTCTTATCACTAGTACCTGGTGAGCCCTCTCTAGACATGTTTTCGCTCGATAGTTCCTTACGTCGCCGCCTTGATGTGGCTGTGCATGGTATACGCAATGCAAGTATTATAGCTAATGTTGCTACTAGTACTGCTAGAGTTAATCCAATTGTAAGCGATATGACTGGTGAAAATAAAAGTTCCGCCCGTGGGTTATTAGCTGAAATATTGGTAGCAAATTATAAATATTTATTTACTGATGAAATACCTATATACTATATATGTAAATGTACTAAAAAACATATTTTAATATAAGAGCATACATTGAAGTCGTAATGGTTATTATTATTATCATTAACTAGTTCGTACTTTGAAAGCTGTTTTGACTGGTCGTGTGCGAATGCTTCAAAACAGCACGTACTTATTATGATAGACATCCACCACAGCCAAAGCCGCCGCTCTTGGACTAAAAATCAACTCTCGTAAAACTAAATGTCTACACATTAACGCAAGATCAAGCCAATGGTTCATTATTGGGAGCGGAGTGTTGACGAAGTCTCCTCATTTAATTATATGGTTACTGAATCTGGAGGGTCCGAAGAAGATATTGCTGCCAAGTTAAATAAGGCAAGAAAGGCGTTAGGGAGCTTGAAAAGATCTAACGAACACACACAAACAACGAAATTGCGAATCAATACATATATATAAAAGTAGAGACATGTTTTGGTACAGTGTCATTTTCATCAGAACCGTATCTCTACGTATTTATATGCGTGTACGTATGCAGCACAAAGTTGATCCAAAGCAACAACAACAGCTGCGGGCAGAGCTTGGGCAGAGATTAGGGGAACCTGGATACCAAGTTGGTAATCCTAGCTCTTGTACCTTCTGAGATCCTTGCACACATACAGACAGATGGACAGGCAGACGGACATGGCTATATTGATTCGTCTTGTCATCGTGATCAAGAATATATATACTTTTGGCCCAACACGATAAGCAACACGTCAATAAAGCAATTGACAAATCAAAAGCCTGTTACTGTTACCATCAGAAACCGACGATGGAGATCGATTGGGCTTATCTTGCACAGAAGCCACAGTGATATAAACCGAGCTGCATTAGAAGTAGAAGAAGAGAAGAGAACTGGTCTTGCTGAATTGGATACCATTGGAACGCCATGGGCCCAATTATGCTCCCAAGTGGAGTGAATAAAAGGATTTATACTGATTACAGAATCCCATAAGGATATCTTCCAAACCGAGGGTATAAAAGGGAAAACATTCCAATAACGATAGCGACTTGAAGTTGGGACCAAAACGAACAGATAAATTTACAAAACAACAAAAACAAAGACGCATTAGACAATAATAGGTGAGACAAGGCTAGCGTTTTCCAGAAGCAGAGCAGAGTTCCCAAATAAAAAGGACCAACGCTACCACCATCGGTCCAAACCCAAGAAGTGCGAACTCCAGCCTCAAGCCAGGTAGCAATGCACACTCAGAGATCCCCACGGCAGGAGCTAATATACAAAATGCGAGTACTAGCAGAAGACGCGCTGGCAAAGTGCAAACCTTTATTGAGGAAATCCATTGGAATTAAGTGAGGGCACCTACACTATAAAATGATACTTGAGTCCAAAGTTCAGCTTTCTAGCTTTTACCGTTTGGGCTTTGGGTTGATCACCAATCAGTCAGTCAGTCAGGACAAACTGTTTGATATATATGGAGATAACGAACGTTTTAAGATAGACTATGTGCAAAAAAGGGGAATAATTATAAGATTTTAAATTCACATTTGTGTCTATTCAAAAAGAAAAATGCACTGACAATGCCCATCTCAATTTGCTAGAGCATAACTATCAATAGTTCTATCGAAGTTTGAATGCAATTAACAGGTAAATCTTCTGATAATTAATTATAATTTATTGAGATCAATTAGAAAAAATTATTTACATACATCTGCCCGCAATGCGAAGCAGAATATGCGTAGCTCCGTTATTCGGTTTCTGCTTTATTATCGCTTACTCTGTCGTTGCCTAGCGACGGCAACTGTAAACTTTTAGAATTTTGTTTTTGCAATCAATTTTTAAAAATTTTAAAAGGCGTAGATGATCAAAAAATATGAACGAAAGAATCAGAGCGTGCCAATGACTTTCAGTTGCCGTTGTTGCTTTTCGTTTTAAAAATTTCATTTATAATTTAAAACCATAGAAAACTATTTATTACAATTAAAAAACAGTGTTCGATGTCCCACTGTATATATACAAACAGTAGCAGGTATTGCCCGTCTTAACCCGGCTCAATATAATGTTTCCAATTGTATTTATTTTGTGTGTGCATAACCTACCCATATGTTTTCACCTTATAAGTTACCAGTAGGAAGGCATTTAAGGTATTTAAATGAACATTTTCTGTTCTTGACAAAAAATTGTTCAGTAGTCCGTTACATTTTTGTTCTTGCCAAACTATTTCGTTAAACGAACATGACCACTATAACTAATATTTTTTAAAGCTCGTTTTCCCCCCTTTGGAGCTCGAATTTTCCAAAAGCCTTTCTTAGTGTGCTCCTACACTATGATGGATACTATGAAAGAATACTTGAGTCCAAATTTCATCTTTTACCGTTTGGGCTGTGCGTTGATCACCAATTAGTCAGGACAAACTGTTTTATATATAGAGAACACGCAACGTTTTAAGATAGACTATGTGCAAAAAAGGGGAATAATTATAAGGGTATATCCTAATTTTAAATTCACATTTGAGTCTTTTCGTGTCATATTGAGTCAATACGGTCACGCACAAGCTCGGAATATGAAACACGGCACTCGTGTCAATGCCGTGCAGCGATGAGCCACGATCAAAAAACACTGACAATTCTCATCTCAATTTGCTAGAGTACAACTTTCGATAGTTGAAGCCACCGATACCATCAAAATATCGAAGTTTGAATGCAATAAGCAGAATATTTAAATAATAAAATCTAAATTTTTATTGAGATCAATAAGAACAAATCATATATGTATGTACATACATACATCTGCCCGCAATGCGAAGCAGAATATGCGTAGCTCCGTTATTCGGTTTCTGCTTTACTATCGCTTACGCAGTCGTTGCCTAGCGACGGTAACTGTAAACTTTTGGCGTTTTGCCTTTGCTATTAACATTAAATGGTCAAAACGAAAGAAGAAGAGCGAGCCAATGACTTGCAGTTGTTGTTGTTTTTAGAGCATTAGTTTTTTTACAATCAAACAACTGTGTTCGATTGCCCAATGTATACATTAATACGAATGTACATACATGCTATATTCATACACAGGCATACATACATCTCTATATATATAAAACAGTTTGTCCTGACTGACTGACCGACTGACTGACTGATTGGCAAACAACGCACAGCCCAAACGGTAAGAGCTAGGAAGCTGAAATTCGGACGCAAGATCCCTCTTATAGTGAAAGTGAGCACTAAGAAGGGGTTTCGGAAAATTCGAGCTCCAAAGGGGGGAAAACGAGCTCCAACGTTTGTATGAAAAATCTACAATTTTCATCCGATTAACTTCAAACTTAATTTGTATACTCTCAGAACAAGAAAAACTGTATACTTGGATTTTCAATATTTTTCCTGCGGCCTGAATAATAATGATTTCCGGTGGAAAATTCGGTAAACGAAAAGCTATCTGCAATCAACGCACAGCCCAAACGGTAAGAGCTAGGAGGCTGAAAATTGGACACATGTTGTCTTCAGTGGTGTAGGTGAGCACTAAGAAGCGGTTTTGGATAATTCTAACGCCAAAGGGGAGAAAACGGGCTCCAACGTTTGTATGAAAAATCTACAATTTTCATCCAATTAACTTCAAACTTAGTTTGTATACTCTCAAAAAGAATACAAGAAAAACTGTATACTTGGTTTTTCACCATTTTTCCTGGGGCATGAAAAAAGGGGGGTTTTCCGTGGAAAAATTTAAACACAATCAACACCCCACAGCCCAAACGGTAAAAGCTAGGAAACTGAAATTTGGGCTCAAGTATCCTATAATGGTGTAGATGCGCACTAAGAAGGGATTTTGGAAAATTCGAGCTTCAAAGGGGGGAAAAGTAGCTCCAAATTTTGTTTGAAAAATCCGCATTTTTCAACCGATCGACTTAAAACTTAGTTTCTAAAATCAATTAAAGAATACAAACAAAACTGCATACTTAGATTTTCGAAATTTGGAGCTTGAATTATTGGGGTTTTAATATTTATTCACTATTTCAAATGAAAAGTTTGTGTTATAAATTAAGTCCGATCGATTTAAAATTTGGGTAATGTAATCTACGTAACTAAATCTACAACTTTGCATTCAAGGATTTTCAAAATATGCATTTTACAAAAGCAGGCAGAACAAACAATACAAAATATCAAACAGTTGGGGACAACTAAGTATACATAGACACACACACATGCAAGCAGCTGTTCGTGTAGTTGCGTGCAAACGATTGAAATAGTCAAAGCAAAATGTGAGACACTAATGTGTGAATGTCCATAGATACATATGTATGTGCTCATCTATGTATGTACATATGTATCTACATATGTATGTATGTGCATTCGTCTTGCACTGACAGAGCAAGAAATGTTAATTAATTGAAAATTATATAACATTTTTAAAAGTAATTTTTCCAAATGCACTAACTTGGCATTAGGGTTTTCATTAATAACTTTATGCAGCAACAACAAATATCAAATAGTTGGGGACATGACATACACACACTCACACACACAACAAGCAACAGTTCGTGTCTATGTGTGCGGTTCTCTACGTACGGTTGAAAAGGTAAAGAGAAACATACATACATATGTATGTACTAGCAGGTATTGCCCGTCTTAGCCCGGCTCAATATAATGTTTCCAATTGTATTTATTTTGTGTGTGCATAACCTACCCATATGTTTTCACCTTATAAGTTACCAGTAGGAAGGCATTTAGTAGGTATCTAATCTTTAATTGATTTTAGAAACTAAGTTTTAAGTCGATCGGTTGAAAAATGCGGATTTTTCAAACAAACTTTGGAGCTCGTTTTCCCCCCTTTGGAGCTCGAATTTTCCAAAAACCCTTCTTAGTGAGCACCTACATTATGACAGGATACTTGAGCCTAAATTTCAGTTTCCGTACTTTTACCGTTTGGGCTGTGGGGTGTTGATTGTGTTTCAATTTTTCCACGGAAAACTCCCCATTTTT